GAAGACGTTCGGGGACGGCGGGGTCTACCGCAAGTTTTCGCAAATTCCTGGGGGAGCAGGGTGAGCGATCCAGTTTAAGAGGTCCCGCGTAGAGTTGATGTCGAGAGCTGGAGTCGTGCTTGTTTCGCACGGCGTCGTTCACGACGCCGTGATCTGCCCGCTGCGCCGCGATTCGCGGAACTATGAGAAGAGGGCTAGAGGAGAACGAGGAGGAGAGAGGAGGGCGTACTCAGGGCGAGAGGGTAGGCTTCGGAATTGCATTTTTCTTTGTCCCCCGATCCCCAGGACGTCGAACGCCAACCCTACACTGGCACAGGCCCTGGCCAGGCCCATTTTGCGGGGTCCATCTCGATCCGATCGATCCAGCTCGACGTCGGTTCCCGCCAGCCCGCCCGGTTCGATTCCGATGTCCCAATGGCCCGACGGGGCTCCGTGCTTGCGTGGCGTTGTTGTGAATGCTGGCCCAAGTTTTCTTTCTGCACCCGATGCGACGCATGCGCCGATTTGATTCGATGCTTCTTGGCTCGATCCTGACCGATCTTGCGCCCTGGGCCCGGGATGGGTTGTGCGGCGGCTCCCCCTGGCCACGCGCTGGGAGAGCCCGGCCCCAGGGCGGGCCGGGCCAGGACCAGTGCGGTGCATGTGCCCAGCACGGGTCGACCCAAACGGTGCTGTGGCGACTTCGTGGGCCGTTCTCTTTTCGGTGTCGTTCTGCAGCACGGGCGGATTGAACAACAAAAACGCCTGAGAACGAAAGCAAAGCGAACACGAAAGACACTGCTTCGGTTGATCCCTGATACCCGGGCAGCCGACGATGTGTTTTTTTCTATGCGCGGCCCCAGATGTCTCAACCACTTCCTCCGGGGGACAGTCTCTCGCCGCGGACCCTTTTTGTTGGTGGCCCCGTGGTCCGAAGACGGCCCCCGGAGGCCGAGATGGAGGAGCAGCGCACGGATTGAGAAGCGCTCCGCCCGACGCCTGGGTATTGTCCGGGGGGTCCCACCCATGGGATGTGATCCCTGATTCTCCTCACTGCCATCATCTGATGATTCCTGATTCTCCTCCCTGACGGGATCATGGGCTGTGGTCCCATGTCTCCTCCCTGAGGGGGGTCTGACCCATGGGCTGTGATCCCTGTTCCCTGATTCTTCTCCCTGATGAGATCATGGCCGGGCCATGAGATCTGACTCACTGCATGGCCCCCGCGTGCGCGCTTCGGGCCACGGCACGTTGACCGCCCTCTGACAGTTGGCGCCCTCCCAGCCCAGGACGTGGTCGAGGGGAGCCTCAGCGCCGTCGGCAAGATCTGCGAGGACGGCCCGCTCGTCCCGCCTCTCTCTGTCTCCCCCCGCCTCCCCCTCTCGCACTGCACCTCTCAGCGGCCCGCAGGGGCAACCTCTCGAGATCGCGCGGGCCCTGCTGCGCTGCTTCGTCGTGGGGATGTCTATCTCCTCGGGGGCAGCGCTCGGGGAGGAACGCGCCGGCACCCCATCCCGCCCCCTGATCACCGAGAGGCTCCCGATGGCCCGCCCCGCCCAGGAAGGTGCAGTTTCGCCCCCGGGGGGGCCATGGCCGAGCTGCCCCCCCATCGGCGACGTATCGTCGATTCGAGTCCGATGCTTTCCTCCTTCGGTTCCTTTCCCCACCCCCCCCCCCCCCCCCCCAGCCCCCCCCCTCCTCCCCCTCCTCCTCCTCCTCCTCCTCCTCCTCCTCCTCCTCCTCCTTCTCCTCCTCCTCCTCCTCCTCTCCCCACCCCTGCGCTGGGCCCCTCCCCCGAGGACGGCGTGGAGCTGCTTGTCAGGGCCCAGCGCCAGGACGCCCAGGCCTGCAGCGACCCGCTGAAGGCCGCGAGGGCGGAGGACGCGCGGCTCTTCCTGGGCTGGGCGTCGCAGCAGGCGCCGAGAGCCCGAACCCCAGACCTCTATGCGTGGCGGCAGTCATCACGACGGGCGTCTTTTGTGCTTTTTTTGTGTGTTGTGTGTGTGCGTGTTTGTGCAGAACAAAAGCACTCGTTAGCCAGCGTGGAGCCCAAACAGTATACTCTAAGTCAATGCGGTGCAATCTGTGTGGTGCTGTGTGTGCGATGCAGTTTATGTAATGCAATATATGCGGTGCAATCTATGTTGTGCACTCCATGTGGTGCAATCAACGCGGTGCAACCTATGCAGTGCAGTCTATGCGGTGCACTCTACGTGGCGCAAGCTATGCTGTGCACTCTATACGATCACATATACGTGGTGCAGTCTACGCGGTGCAACCTATGCGCATAATCTATGCGCGGTGTAGTCTACGCGGTGCAAGCTATGTGGTGCGCGGCGGCGACGGCGGCGACGGCGGCGACGACGGTACGGCGATGGCGGCGGCGATGGCGTCGACGGACGGCACGGACGGCGACGGCCTCCCTTGGTCCCGAGACGAGCGGCGGCGACGAGCGGCGACGGGCGGCACGGTGACGGTAAGCCGGCAATGGTCCCCGGATGGTTAAGACAAGTAAGAAAGCCTAATTGCAAGCACCGATTCGGGAATTATTCTTCTAAACAATTCGCTCATTCCGCCGGCCCACATCTCATCACCAGTGGCGCGTGGTGGTGTGCTTTTGGCCAGCTGGAGCTGTCATGCAGGCAGGAATTTCACAACATAGTTTTGTGAAAATTTGGTTGCTTGTGGTAACGAAAGCAATGGGTTATTTTGTCGAAGACGCCTACGGCGAATCACCGCCGTCCCCTGCCTTGTGGAAGCGCCTATGTGGCCGAACGTTGCGGCCAGAGCTTGGTTAAACTTTCGAACTATATGTTCCCCCAGCCGCTGTGGAAGCCATTCGGGGAACACGTGGGGGAGAAAAGAAAAAGAGGAGGAGAGGGAGGAAAAGGAAGGGGAGGAGGATGAGAAGGAGGAGGACCAGTGTAAAGCCAAGACTCATCAACGATGTTGCAATAAACCCTCTCATTGAGTTCCCTCTTCGTTGGCCCCTATAAGGTGTCATTTTCACTGAGGGAAGTGCCCCGTTTGAACACAACCGTTTGGGCCCTCTTGGCAGCCTTCTTGGCGGCCTCTTGGGGGCCTCTTGGGGTCTCTTGGGGGCCTCTTGGGGCCTCTTGGGGGCTCCTAAGGGCTCCTGGGGCCCCTCGGGGCCGAGTGCTCGAAATGTCCGTTCGGGTCCCCCATCTGGGCCCCCTCTTGGAGCCGTCTTTTGGGCCTCTCGAGCCGTCTTGGGTTCCTCTTGGGCCGGCTTGGGCCCTCTTGGAGGCCTCTTGGGCCGTCTTGGGGCGATTTTGGGAGCCTCTAGGACCGTCTGGGAGCGCCGGGAAGCTGAAAAGGCGAGAACGCCAAAACCTTCAAACACCGCAGGGAAATCAGTACGTTTGGCCTCTTTGGGACCTCTCGGAGGGCTTTTGAAGGCCTCTTGGGGCGTCCCGGAGGCCTCTTGGTGCTGTCTGGCGGCCATCTTGAGTGTCTTGGAGCGTCTGGCGACTCGACTCCCTCTTGGACCACATCGAGTCTCTTGGGGCTCTCTTGGTCTGTGTTGGTGCCCTCCAGGTCCCGAAAAGTCACGCGGGGAGCCGCGGGGGAGCCCGGTGGGCACGCGGCAGGCCTGGTAGATTGAATCATTTGAAGTCCTGTGCCCTCAAGAACCTTTAGGATCGAGGACGGGAAAGAGGGGGGTGATGACTAGGGGGGGTGGATATCATGGCGGGGGCCATGATATCTCCCCAGATTTCATGGCGCCTCTTCTTATTTCATTACGTCCATGGCCCCCCCGCGGGGCCGCGCACATGCCGCCGGTCATGTTTTGCACCCCCCCTTTTGGACACCCCCCTCTTGGCCGCTCCCGATTTAGGATAGGACTGAGGCTCAGGGGATTGGGCAAATGAGCAAATGACCCGAGGACACGTCCACTCCGTACCCAGCGGCACGGCGGCGGATATTTGCAGTCTTTTGTTCCTCCATAATCGTGGTTCGCGCATCGCGACCTGGGCCAGAGCGGCTGCCCTTCTCCGAGGGTGCGACGCGAGGGCTTGAGGGTGCGAAGGCTGCAGCGTGTCGCGCATCGCGATGCGCGATGCGCGGAATTGGGCACCCCATGTAGCGGTCGGCCGTTGAGCCGCCGAATGCTGTCCAAGGCCGCCGATGGCCGCCAGTGGCCGCTGGCCCCCCTCGGCAGGTGCTGCCCCCCATGTTCGCCCGCGCGGCGCCCGCCGCGCCGGTGTTCGTGCGGCGGATCGCGCTCGAGTGCCTGAACCACTTCGCCTTGGCGCGGGTGTTCGAGGAGGGAGCCGCCGTCTTCGAGGAAGAGAAGGAGGATAAGGAGCAGGAAAAGGAGGAGGAGGAGGAAAAGGAGGAGGAGGAGGAAGAGGAGGAGGAGGAGGAAAAGGAGGAGGAGGAGGAGGAACACAGAGGAGAAGGCATTGGGTATATCGCTTCCCCCTCTGGCTGGCCTCCCGGGGGCCTCCCGAGAGCGCCCTGTCGAGGGTATTCGAGGAGCTGATGCAGTCGCCAGTCGTGGCGGCCGGGCGGCTGGGCTGTCGCTGGCGTCTTCCTGTTTTGCTCGAAGGATTTTTGTAGGCGTCGGCTGGGGGCGTAGTAGTGAGGATGGCAGTGATAGTAAGGTTGTCGGTGATGGTGATGTTGGTACTGATCATGGTATCGGTTCTGATGATCATTGTGCTGATGGTGTGGTTGCTGCTGGTGGTGATGACGATGGACGATGACGATGATGATGACAATGACGATGACCATGATGATGATGCTGCTGCTGCTGATGATGAAGATACGTATGAACATGGGGATGCTGATGATACGATGCAGCATATGATGAGGATGCTGATGCTGAGGACGAGATCGAGGACGAGGACGAGGACGAGGACAAACGCGATGATAATGATGATGACGTGGTTGATGATGCTGATTCTGATGATGACCATGACATTGCTGGCGATGATGATCACGATGCTGATGCTGATGATGTTGCTGTGATAGATGATGATGATGATGATGCTGAT